TCATGTTTTCATGGAAACTCACAAAATGTTAAATACAGGTGTGCGTAGGAGCATGTTTTCCCTCTTCCCCACCACTGAAACAGACATACCTTCAAGAAAAGCTATTATTGACACATTTTCTCTAACTGAGGGTGGTTTATGATCCCTGTGTCAGGGCATAAATAGTCCAAACATTTCACAGGCCCATATTTATGTACATGGCACCCCTCTGCCCAGGCATTAAATGGTGTAAGAGACAGTATGGCATAATGAAAGTGCCCTAAATATAGTGACAGGGTCTGGGATCAAATCCCCCAGTAGCCTTAGTTTTACTAATAGTGATGACCTTGATCAAGTCCCTCTGAGCTTCATTTTCCTAATTTACAAAAAGAATGTGGAAAGGGAGGGGAAATCAATGAACTTGCAGAGGGTGACCCATGAGAGATGTATACATTGTCACCCTCCCCCAGACAACACTTGATGTCTAGCCCACTGTCTTGTGGATACCAGCATGCTGTCACCCTCCACCTGCTTGGATTGTAATCTACACACCAAAAGAACATTTTGCTCTTTTAAAACAGAGGCAGCAATTTAGTTAGCCAAGTGTGGCTTACAGAGGTCTTTCCTTTGACTCCCACTGGGTTTCAACAAAGTTTTAAGGCAACAGTGAAAAGTGAGGAAATGTCACATCATAATCTGGGTTTGCAGCTGCTACTAAAAACCTGAAAATTCTTACCTCGTGGCTCTGCAGTTCTACCTGGAAGATATCTACTAGAGCTGAAGAGTTTAGCCCTTATGCAAGTTCTCCACAGTCTACACCAGCCCTAAACATGACCCTAACCTTGAGACTGAATGTCAATTGCCATTCATCTCATGCCTATTTTTATTTTTCACACAATACTTTTTTTTTTTTTTCTTGAGCCTCCTTTGAAAGTAGGGAAATGAAAGCCGGCCATAGAAGATTGCTTGCTTCAAGGAAATGAGTATGAGCACTTTGTTTGTGAAAGTGTTCCCTATGCCCTATCTGGTCATCTTCAGTCATTTACCTTACCAAACTGCCCCCTTCAGCCCCTGGAGACTTTGTGCCTGCTTGAGAAGATTGTAACGGCCATTCCAGAATTAATACAATGGAAAGATGCCAAAACCACTTAAGATTTTATTTACTAGATGGACTAATGTACAAAGTCATTTAACTTTTCTGGGCTTCAGAGTCCTCTTGTGTAAAATGAAAAGGCTGGGTTAAGTGATCTCTAAGGCACCTCTCAGCTTTAAATGCCATGATGTTAAAGTTTTCATTCTTATAACGAAGTCCTCATGATATTACTATCATAAATATGTACCCTATTAAAAGTAGTCATCATGGTTTTTCCTCCAACCTAAGGCAGATTTCAGTGACTACATCCATCCATTTTTCATGTTGATAGTGTGTATTGTGGATATCATAGCTTCAAAATGAAAACACTGTTCAGATTCAACGTGTGCCTTTAAAATGCACTTATGTTGTGCATTTGTAGCTTTGAACTGATAAGGTCGTGACTCTGGCAAGTCCTCATCAGCTGTGAGCTGCACTTCAAGTACTTTGCTACTAATAATGCCTAAAGTACTAAAGCTCACTAAATGGAGAATCAGAGCAGATTCAAGGTATTACCAAAAGAAAGCTGATTATGGTCTCATAAACCTTGATACAATTTTTGAATGGAAAAAATACATGAGTTACAGTCCACCCATCATAATTTCCACTGGACCGAGAGCCATTGCTGGGGAACTTTAAAAAAATACCAATGCTTGGTTCATACCCCCAGAGATTCTGACTTAATTGGTCTGGTGTGCAGTCTGGAAAAAAATAATTTTAAAACATCTCAAGTGATACTAATGTAAAAACACTCGTCTAATAAGAATATTGTTTGTAGACTGTGAGGAATAGCCAGGTTGCCCAGACAAAAGATTGAAAAAATACTACAGCGACATCAACTTCATAGTTTTCTTAGTGTCTGCTTTTCTATTCAAAATCTAACATGCTTGATTATATCATATAAAATTGTTTCCATGTTGGACAATGGAGAAGTTTGAGGGGAATTATATAACAGTATTTTTTAGTATCTCCTTGGTTATAATTTTCTGGTGTGAGCTAGAGTTTCATGTTAGAGTTTCATCCCAATTTATTAAGTAGCATAATTTTTATGATGACATTTGTTTCAAATACATGACATAACATCATAGTTTTTGGGTTACTAAAGAAAATGGTGTTGAACTTAAATAATTCAAAAAGGTGATCACTAAACTGCATAGATTTTTTAGTTTATAGACAGTAAATGCTCCCCACAGCTCAAAGAAAAGGTAAAATAACTTTTAGAACACTTACATGAGAACCGTGCCCAAGAGACCCTTCTCTGTTGTTCCATATGCTTAGACATCCTATCTACAGCAGGTAGAAGTGAGAGTTATAAAGAAGGAAGTGACTCCGGAAGTTACCTGGCTCTGCAGTTTGATTTTACAGATAAAAAATTGAGGTTCTTGATAACAGATGATTTGTCCCTATTAGTAGATGGCAAAACCAGAATAACTCTTATCCATATTCTAGTCTAGGATTCCTTCTCCTGTACCATCAGAATCCCACAAATTCTCCTCCTCTTTCCGTGAAACATCCATTCTACCATTTTTACTTGTCCTAGAATTGTGATGGAAAATGATACATATTGATGTGTCTTAAACAATGATTCTTGAATGCTGTGCTATCTTTGCATATGATATATACATCCTGATTTAGAAGATAATAAGTCAGTATAGGTTTACTTGTATTTCTGTATAATTAGCTTCCAAAGTAAATATGTTGATCACATCTTTGGTTGATTATTATGGTCTTCTACTGCTGTTATACTAATACTTTTCCCATCTCCAACTGGCTTTACTTTTTGCAGCTTTGAACAGTAATTCAGTCCCCTACGCCTCCCTGATTGGCTCTGTGTCCTCCCTCTCTAGCCAAACCACCACTCAGTCCATATATGATAATAACTCTCTCCCACGATTCGCTCGGAAAGGTCTAAACATCTTTGTCTCTTTATTTTCTCTGTTAAAGCACTGTAATGGATGTCTACATCAGTCCATTTCCATTTCCAGATAAGCCTAGAGTCTCTTGTGCCTTTACATTTCCATTCTTGTCATTGGGGGTGCCTCATCTGGATAAGATCACTTTAATTATTAGACCACTGTCACCCACCTATTTCCTCCACAGAATATAAATTAGTTCAATTCTACCATCTTTATGGAAAAGTTCCAGAAATGGGCTCCAACATTTTGATTCAAATACATAATTATATCTGCAACAAAGAGTTTCTATTTCTAAGCCAACTCATTTTTATGGGATCTTCCATTAAGATTTTAGTTGACTAGAAGCTATAAACACTAAAACACCACCTATTATAACACTGTACTAAAAGGATTGCCTGGAAGAAGCAAAATAGTTTTTTACTTAACTTACCAGAACTATTGATAATCTGACATTCGAGATAATGGAACTTAGTAGGTGGCTTTCAATAAATGGCACAATTTCTAAAATGCCCATAAAGTAATCACATGTCTTGTTGACTTATGGTCACCGTTCCATAGCCTAGTACCTTCCGAAGAGTCCCAGGACAGCAGAATGTCAAGTTGACCTCCAGTTTGAGCTCCTCCCCCATTCTTTTTCAGCTTCAGAGGCTTCCCTGGGGGCATGCTAGTTGAAGTTTTTCTAGCCAGCTGGAATTTGTACCCATAAGACATGAGTCAGCGATGCTCTCTCATGGTACTCTTAAAAATTTAATCGCAAGGAAATGAAATGTAAATCACATGAAAAGTGCAAAAACATTGGAAAGACACAGGAATCACCAAAATTAGTAGTGGATTATTTTTAACAGAATCTGTGAAACATATCACTTCAGCTGGCAGACTGAACTAAGATGTGCTGTCCCTGTCACTGCTTTCTTTCTTTTTCCATCCCCTTTCCCTCCTTGTCCCTTCACCATCTGCTCACTCTCCTGCATTCATTTCCCATTTGTGGACAAAGATGTTTACACCTGAAGTAGATTGTAGGTTTGCTGGGGGTTGAAAAATGGGGACTTGGGGCAAATACCACAAAACTGTTAGTGTGGCCATTTATAAATGTCCAGGTGAAGGCCACAACCCCAACCTCTACAATCTGCTACTAGTGGAAACATTTTTGAAACTCAGTTTGGTGTCTGATTTTGTCATCAGTGATTATCGTCTATGAACTGTGGTGCATGTCATTCTTTGTGTCCACGGTTGCATGTGAATGTCAGTCACCTCCAGGTCTGTGAAATATTAAAGCGATCTTAATCAAGTCACAATGTCTAGTGAATCCTGTAAAAACGTGCAGCATTTTTATCAGTCCTTTAAAAAAAGTATATCAGACTATCCATTTCATTTTTTTAACAAATTCGTTCTATTTTATTTTATTTACATCATCATTTCCTTTGCAGGTTCAGATGATTCCGGTTACCCTGGTAACCTTCATTCTTCAAGTTAGTTTCCCTTGATTATGCATAAGTCACTTTATGTTTCCTATCAAGCTACTACTCTTTCCCTTTTAGGTCTTTCTCAGTGTCTGTTTTCTTAGATCACTTTACACCATTTAATTCCACACAATTTCCATTTCACACAGTGCAGGAGAAGGAGTTTGAAATGACATAACAGTCATTACTCAAAGCAGAAGTTGACATCAAGTCTGACTGTCAGTTTTCTCCACTCTAACCATATTGATTCATAGCACAATAACGCCTTCTTTTACACTAGGAGTGTTAGTTTGGGGATTATGCTTGGTGACTTTTCATTGGGCTACAAAATTCATCCTTCCAGAGCATGTCCTGCTTTGAGTAACCAAACTATCTGCCTGCTTCCTCACATTAAACATCTTTACTACTCACATATTTTCAGGCCATTTCTAACTATAGTATTCTCTATATTTTGGAATAGTCACCATTGTTTTGCATTTGTTTTCAAATGTGTTTCTTCTTTCCTTTTAATAGGTATGGCTAGCCATCCTCCAATTCCTATCTTGGAACTTGCAGATCACATTGAAAGGTTGAAAGCAAATGACAACTTGAAGTTTTCCCAGGAATATGAGGTATTTCAGTGCATTTATACTTGCAAGTAATTTCAAGAGTTGTCCCCCTCTTCTATTCTTAAAAACTAACTTCACTGGTGTTTTTTCTTTTAAACATGACTGTGAATCAGATATAGAATTTGGTAGTAAATAGGCAACTTAAGTGTCTGTAAAATCAATATAGTAGTTGCAGTTTTAAGATGTGTTGAATATCTGATATTCAGTGTTACTTAATGAGGTTGATTTTTCTTTTCTGGTTTTTAGTTCATAGAATATATTGAATTGATAAACTTCCTTGTATACCAGATGGGTGCTAAATACACTAATTCGTGGCCAGAAGCCTCCCCGAAAAAGAGAGTTGACAGGGAATAAGTTGATTTCTCTGTATACTTAGTTTTCCTTGACCTTAAAACCCTTTAATTATGTACACAATGTATATGAGCATGATTTTAGCTTTCAGTCTTAAAATAATGCCAGAATTAATATTAAGATAGTAATATGTTCCTGAAAAGTTGCCTATTTTTGAAGCAATGGTGAACTGAATAGTATCTTAAAATTCCAGAATCCCTATAAGTTCTGTGTGAATTCTTGTTGAAAGTGAATGAAAAGTCTTTGTATATTTGTGTGTATTTGGACATTGTGGTATTTATCAAGTAGAAAGTTCTAAAATTGGATATTTCTGATATTCCCCAGCAATAGGGACTCATTCTAAAACCAACTCATGAATTGATAACTAAACCATCATTATTCTTTTAGGTCAAATTTGACTTAGCATAAGATTAAAAGGTACAACTAAAGTCTTGTTGTGCCAAACAACAAAAGATTGTTGGGTACCTGATTCCATAAAGAGTTTCTATTGATTTACTTAATAGGAAAGTCTTAAAACACATCCCTGTTACCCCTCTTGGTTTCTGTTGTATCAACTTTTTTTTTCTTAAGTTTTTATTTAAATTCTGGTTAGTTAACATACAACGTATTATTAGTTTCAGGTGTAGAATTTAGTGATTCATCACTTACATACAACACGTAATGCTCATCACCACAAGTGCCTGTTTGTATCAACTTGAAATGAGGCTGTTGGATTAGATGATCTCTCAGTTCCCTACCAGTTCTAACATGCTTAAAGGATTCTTTTTTTTTTAAGATTATTTATTTATTTCAGAGAGAGAGAGATTGCACATGCGTGAGGAAGTGCACAAATAGGGGGAGGGACAGAGGGAGAGAATCTTCAAGTAGACTCCCTGCTGAGCGTAGAGTCCATTGCAGGACTCCATCTGAGGACCCATGAGATCATGGCCTGAGCCAAAACCAAGAGTCAGATGCATAATTGACTGAGGCATCCAGGCGCCCTCAGTTCTAACATTCTACCCTTTCAGTGAGAACCGCTAAGAGGATCCCCAACCTCAAGTGGCCCTATGGGTTTCAAGTATGTGAAGAAGATCCGTGTAAGAAAATCTGGAGTAGTGGGGCCTGTGGCAATCTGGATGTTTGCATGGACTTTCTGAAGTCTTCAAATTGTCACTTTTTCATTATTTTAAATTAGTGTGTGAAGCAAAACATATCTGTAGCCCCATGGACCTCCACCCTTAAGATCCAGGTAGCCTTTTTATTCAATTTGAATATCCAGCATCTTTGTCAAATATTCAATAAGACACAAAGGGACTTTATTTTTCTGATTAGCTAAACTGTATATTTTTTTTATTCTCTTCCCAGCATTCAGAGGAACACTTTCAATTTTAGGAAACTCACATTGGATTATGAATTGTGTCATTTTCTCAAATGGTCTGCTTCTTATTCCTTCCCTGTTCTTCTTGGCCATAATGGCTATTTTTAAATTATGTAGTATTTTTTAAAACAGTTTCTGTAGGTTCTAGTTTGGGGCTTGAGGCTGCAAATTGAGTTTTTAAATAAAAGAAAACAAGGCAGATGATATGTGCTACCTGGGGCAACATAAAAAACTCTTAGCAATCTTTTACCTTTCCAACCTGCTCTTTATTGTTATCGTGATTCTTCTTATTCTCTTGTTATGTGATATATTTTCTTTATGGCCCCACTTTAATACTTGATTTTGAATGATATAATGGGTCACAAAAAATTAAAAATTGATAGCTCAACCTAAAAGTCAGTAATTCACTCACTACCAATATAACTTTAAACCATTGACAATATTTGCATCACTCAAGAAATCTGTTATATACATTGACTACAATAACCAGCTTCCTTTTAAAATGGAATTTCTCTAGAATACTACTTGTAAAGATACTGTAATGATACTCATTTAGCCTTTAAATCAGAAGTGTTCCTTAAAAGCAGTTATGAACTGCATGCTGCCAATGTTCCCATTAAAAACTCCCCCAGTAGCCGTTGACATGATAGCCCACACTGACTTTTCACCATTTATCATGACGATGGTCTGTGATTAAAGCTCCCTGGGCATGAATTGACTCTACTGTGCCTTAACAGCCATGAAGGAGATATTTAAATGTTTTATTCATCTGTGATAATAAGATAAAGACCTCTATATAATATTTTGGGCCACAGAGCAACACTTTGAAAAAAAATTGTATTTTACTTGTTATCTTCCTTATAAATTGAATAGATTTTTTTTACTAGTTTTTAGTGAAGAAAATGGAAGAAGACAAGGCACATTGCCTTCAAACATCTAATTATTTTGGCATAATCACTGTGAATTAATGATTACTCAGACCTCTCAACAGGCATGAAACTAAATTTGTTACTCTAACTCTAAGACTGAAACAGAGGTTAAAGACATGGAGGCTGCTTACACTGTTTCTGAGGTCAGAATAGGAGGAAGCAGATTTAGATTGCCCAGCATTATTAGATCACGTGAGAACTTCTTTTATTGTAAAGGAAACTGGGCTCAGACATTGGATTTAATGACAGCTGGAAGAAGAACCTGAGAAATTAGTAGCAAGAGCACTCCATCTTGAAAATATTTATAAATAGTTCTGGTTTCATTTTCTGATATGAGACTATAAAGTTTTACTAGAATTTAAGGAGCCAGGATTTGAGGATGACATCAAGAATGCAGGGAATAAAGTTCTCCTGACATTTGGTATCTGTCAAAGCCATCGCATGAGCTGGTGAATCTTTGAACAGATTCAGAATAGTATGTATAGGTCTTACCAAACAAATTAGCTAATGACTGTGAATCTTTTGGAAGCCTAATTAAAATTCAGATTTCTGGTCCCAACACCAGAAATGCTGATGCAGTAGGTCAGCCATGACAACCAGGAATGTCTGTTTTATTTATTTTTCCCCAGTTTCATTGATATGTAACTGACATATAACTGTATACTAGTTTGGGGTATACAATGTAATTATTTGATATATGTGTATATATTACAAAATGGTTACCGCAATTAGTTTAGTTAATATCTATCACCTTACATAATTACAAATTTTTCCTTTAGGAACTTTTAAGATCTACCTTCTTAGCAACTTTCAAAATAAAATATTGTTAACTGTTTTCATCATGTTGCACGTTATGTCCCCAGGACTTATTTATCTTATAACTGGAAGTTTGTACCTTTTAACCACCTTTACGCTTTTTCTCCTATCCCCTACTCCACCCCAACCTCTGGCAGCCACCAATCTGTTCTCTATTTTTGTGAGTTTGTTTTTTTTAAGATTCCACATATAAGTGAGATCATACAGCACTTATCTTTCTCTGTCTGGCTTATTTCATTTAGTACATTGCCTTCAAGATGCATCCATGTTGTCACAAATGTGACATCAATGGACACTTAAGTTGTTACCATGTTTTGGCTATTGTAAGTAATGCCACAATGGATATTGGGATGCAGATATCTCTTATTCAATTTACATTCCCACCAACAGTGCACAAGGGCTCTCTTTTCTCTACATTCTTGCCAATATTTATTTCTTGTCTTTTTAATGACGTTCTAAGAGGTATGAGGTGATACCTCTTTGTACTTTGATTTGCATTTCCCTGATAATTAGTGATGTTGAGCACCTTTCATGTACCTGTTGGCCATATGTATGTCTTCTATGGAAAAATGTTCATTCAGATCCTCTGCCTATTTTTTAATTGGCTTGGATGTTTTTTAAATTTTGTTTTTGTTTTTCTATTGGGTTGCGTGAGTTTTTTCTACATTTTGAGTAGTGACTCATTAGATATATAATTTGCAAATATTTTCTCCCAGGTAATGTCCATTTTAAAAGAGCAGTCCAGGTGACTTTGATGAAGGTGCTCTGAAGACTTTAATTTAAGAAACATCATTGGTTTAGGGTAATATATTTACAGAGCATCATCCTCCAGTCTTCATTTTATCATCCCCTGAGATGGCAAATAAACCAAAGTATAAGATTCATTTGACACGTATCATAGTCAGCATTATCATTATCAATACCATATACATAAATCCTATTTATATTAGACTGATTGTAAGTAACTGCAGCTCCTACAGTTTGTTTAAGGGGAGGAAAGGAGGAGTTCACTTTATTTACTATAAATTATTTATTATAAATTTATTTATTATAAATTATCTATTATAAATCCAAAGGCTAACAATATAGGTGTGCTTCAAGAACTGTTGTTTGGATTTCCTGACATCCTCTTTGATATTTTCATCTTTGTGTTTTTATCTGGACTGACCTCATTCTTCCCCTTGTATAGGCCACCTTCTTTTGTTTCTTCCACTCACATATAGAAAATGTGGCCTTTGATCATGTTTCTATTAACAGAGCATCCCCCTGAAGAAAGAGACCAAATTTTTCTTTTCATTCAGATTCCAAATGCCAGAGAACAAACTCTGAACTCCGGTTGACTCATTTTGTTATGGAGACACACATGAGGACATAGCTGCTAACAGTCTACCCATATAGATCTTGCTCCTTCCTTGGGTTGGAAAGAGGGAAGTCACTATGGAAAGAGGCTTGTGAGCTGGGAGGAAGAACCAACAATTATCTACCAAAACACTACAGAAAATCACTATGCTAAGTTCTGGCAGGAATAGAAGTTATAAGAAACCTTTACT